GTGGAAGGCGCAAACCTTTCTTCAGGGCAAGCACCTCAGCACCTAAGGCCCGCAAATCGCCAGAGCCTGCTGCCAGTCTGCCCAGAATGTGCCAGCTGGGTAGGGCACAGGCCACGCTGGAGGCGTCTGTTAGAAGCATCCAATTCAGGACCTGGCCTTCGCTCTGCCTGTCTGCCACATTCTTTGTGCTTTCAGGTACTTTTAACTGTGTCTCCCTTCCAAAGCCCCTGATGAAGGCATGAGCCTCACCCACCGGCACTGGGGCACCCGGATGCGAAACAGAGCCCAAGGGAGACTACTGTGCAGCTGAGCAGCCCCGGGTGACCCAGTGTCCGCTCTTCAGCCAGGGGCCCACGTTCCAACGCTCACGGCTTTTGCTGGCATCCATCAGGGAGGAGGTGGGGGCAGAGTGAGGGAGGGGAAAAGAAGCTCAGTAGCTGTACCAGGCAGAGGCCTCCAAGGGCAACGTACGGATGGCTTTGCATGCAAGGCCGGCCCTTCTCTGCGGCAGGGCACAGTGCTGGGTCCTGCGGCCTCAGCAGGGAGACTGCCCATATCTCAGCCCCGGACTCTCGCAGGCGCCTGCTCCAGCCATGGAGGCCTCTCTCGCCCGAGCGTTGCCGCTTTGCCATCAGTGGGGCCGGCGCCTCTGCTGGACTCGATCACATTCTTTTAGTCAATTAGGACAGGGTTGAGTTCCATTAAGCTCAGTGAAGAAGGCGGACGAGGGTCAAGGATAGCTCGCAGCCAGGGCCTTCGCAGGGATTTCCAATGGAGTGGGTGACAGCCCCGGGCCAGGCTGTGGCAGGATCCCGGGCCCTCTGTGCAGCCGGGCTCTCACAGTCCAGCGAGGGAGGGCGCTTTTGCTCTTCCTCCGGGCCTGTACTCTCAGTCCCTGATCCTGCCTTTCTAATTTCCTGAGAAAACACAGGCCCTTGGCAGGGAATGTCCGCGGGAGCCAGCTCCGAGGCCCTCGTGGGGCCAAGCTGACAGACACACAGCTCTTCCTGCCGCTCCCATCCTGCGCCATTAGCTGCCGGCTGCCAGGTCTTTCCCTTCTGCACACAAACCCTCGGGGTCTCCCTGTGTCCTCAGGTGCTCCGCCACTCCTGTCCCCCATCTCCACGCGCCAGCCCCAGCTCAGGTCACTGACTGTGTCCCCTCCTAGGCTGGCTGCTTTCTTACCTGGATGATGTGACACAGGAGCCCCTCTATCCATGCTGATCTCTTGACTTCGGGGGCTGGCCTCTCAGCCCCGCCCCCCAGAGTGGCTGTCCCTTCCCTGTCCCCCTTCGCTCAGTGTTCTCCAGGAGACCGGGTGCCTCCAGATCCACTCCTGGGAGCCCGCTCTGCTCCACCCGGCCCCTGGCTACAGGAGCTCGGTGAGCCCACACTCGGGCTCTTCCCAGACCCACGACCTCGTGTGTGCCCAGCGCGTGTCCAAGGCTGCCCCTGGCTGGTTCAGCCCACTTCTGTGTCTGGGGCATCCCCTGTACACCATGAAGGGAACGGCTGTGCCTTGTACACTCCATGCCGAGTCCTGATGTAACCCCACACACCCTACACCATGGCCTCGAGCACAGTCAGAGCCCACGTCCTGATGCCGAGGAAGGCCTGGCTGCGGGCCCCGGCCCCTAAGGACCTCTCGGGCCCAACCTGCTGCCCACTTACTTGCTCACCCACCTGAGCCACCCGGCCTCCCGCCGCTCTGAGCACGTCCGACCAGCACCAGGTCTTCCCCAGGAAACATCTCCTCCATCCTCTGGGTTATAGCATCCCCACTAACTGGGATCTCACATGTGAACCCCGTGTAGAACATTTAGTCTCCTCTTTCTCCCTGTACCCTAAAACCTCAGCCAGCAGCACACTGTTCACAGCTCCAAATGACTCCTGGCGAGCCATGGTCCTGGCCCAGAGTGCGTGGTGTCACAGGCAGGCAGCACAGAAGTGTATCTGCTCTCAGTTCTGGAGGCCAGGAGGCTAGGACGGAGGCAGGACACTGAGGGCCCTCGAGCGGCCTCGAGGTGCAGGGTGCGGCTGAGCGCTGTCGTGCGCACTTGCAGCCGCAGCACTCTGGGAGGCTGAGGCAGAGCGACTGCAAGTTTAAGCCCAGCCTGGGAAAATCAGTGAGACCCTCTCAAAATAAATGGCCTAAGGGGCTGGGGATACAGCCAGTGGCACAGCACCTACCTGACAATCACAGGTCCTGAGTTCGATTCCTGGTACCAAAGAAACAAAAATTAAATGGGCTGCGGGGGGCAGTGAGATAGTTCAACTGACTAAGAGCCTGCTCAGGCAAGCACAGGGACCAGGGTTTGATCCCCAGCACCACATGCCGTGCTGGCCCTGCCCCCTGGGTGCGCTGAGCTGGCCACTGAGAACAGGTGTGGTGGCGCACACTTGTAATCCCAGTGCTGGGGAGGCTAAGATAGAAGGATCACCATGAGTCTGTGCTGTGTAGTGAGACCCTGTACCAAATACACAGAATAAAAAAATTAAAAAGAAAGTAAATGGGCTGGGGACGTAGCTCAGTGCAAAGGCCTCGGCTCAGTCCTTAATGCTACCAGCAGAAAAGGGCTGAGGCATGGCGGCGTCTGAGACAGAGCCAGAGGCTGCATTGCAGCCTCAGCCCTTTGGTGACTGTCACCATCCCACTCAGGACGCACGGCCTTGTGACTGAACGACCCCGACTGGCACATCGTGGAGCCGTTCAGACCACAGCAGCGCTCAGCATCCTTTGAAGTGGGGCGCTTATCTGTCCAGAATCTGTAACCTCGCCGCCCATACATTCTTCCTGTTGTTCACACCTGTGGCTGGCCTGATGCTTACCAAGCACAATATAGCTCAATAGCTGCGGATCAATCGTCAGCATCTGAGTCACACCACAGCTTGGAACCTCGAACAACTGCTTCTACATTCACTAAGAAAAATATGATAGCACTACTCCTGCGGGGCGTGTGGGCCCAGCTGCGCTGTCTGCACTCTGGGAGGCTGAGGCAGGAGGATCCTCCGTGTGAGCCCAGCCTGGGCGCTCAGGGACTTAGCAAGCCCCTGCCTCAGAGTAAAACATAAAAGAGGGTGGCGGGTACAGTAGCTCAGGGCAGGGCCCACGGCTCCGTCCCCAGCAGCACAGCAGGCAAGCAGGATGATTACTAACAGTGGAGCCCAGCCATTGCTCAGTCAGAAACAGTGAACATCCTAGAATAAGGATGAGGGCCTGGCTCTCAGCTGGCCCAGGGAGGGAGGGTTCCGGCAGCATTCGGGAGCCAACCAGCTGCACCTGCAGCCTGTCCGCCCTGCTCCCTCTCTGCCCCAGTCACATGGCTGGGGATATGCAGCCTCCTTCAGGAGCCCCACGGCAGAGGACCAGCTTACCAGAGCCACTGAGCAAGGTGCGGCCACCAGCAGGGTGGAAGTGCACTGGCAACCGCTGTGCCCACCCCGCCTCAGACTTGGAAGGCTGGGGGAAACACCGCCTCAGACTGGGAAGGCTGGGGGAAACACCGCCTCAGACTGGGAAGGCTGGGGGAAACACCTGAGTCTGCGCTGCAGGGCGCACACCTTTTCTCATCTTGATTCCTTAAACAATACTTTACAATCATTTGCATATCATTTACATAGTGTTAGGCATTCTAATAATCCAGGCATGGTTTACAGTACACAAGAGGATGTGTGGGTTTTATGCAAATATCGCCCCATTTTATGCGAGGCACTTGAGCACCCACAGATTTTGGTATCCACCAGAGACATCCTGGATCTAACCCCACAGATACTGAGGAGCCCTGTATCTGTAATTCCCTTTTATTTTATTTTTCTCTGGTTATAGAAGCAATGTTTAGTTTAAAATTAAGAATGCAAATAAGAGTGAAAATGCCCTTCTATTCTGTCACTAAAAGACAGCTCGTCGAGCGGGCCTTCTGGTGCTTGTACGGATGGGTAACATGTTTCCTCTTCTGTAATAATTCAGAGTCCCACAGGTGAGCCTGAACGGCAGCAAGTTTCAGGTGGTGAGCTGCCTGGCATATTCTGGGACTTACCCTTGCGCCCCTGGGCTTGCAGTTTCCCCCTCAGATTTTCAGGCCCAACATCACAGTTCATGTGACTGAGCTTTCCTGAGAGAAGATGGTGAATCTGAGAAAGTGGAGAACCAGGGCCAGCTCCGTGCTGCGCCAGCTGTGGAATTTTCCACAGCTCATCTGACATGGCCCTTCTGTGCCCTCATCTACAACACTTTTATTATTATTATTATTTTTTTTAATGAGAAACATTCTGATTTTGCTTCTTTTCTAGAAGTGAATTTTACCTGTTCCACAAAGGCTGCCAGATCCTCCAGCCAATTAAAAATAATTGAGTCCATTATTTACTGGACCAGAGAGTGTGCGACAGGCAGGTATCAGTTGGATCATTAATCTGAAACTGGTTTATTATCCCTACAAACGCAAAGCGTGCAGCTCTCTCTCCAGACCCAATAGGCGGCCCTCCTGTTCGCGCACACATCTCTGAAAGGCAAGACTTCTCCCCTAGACGAGCTTCGGGCGGCCCTAGGAGTACATATCCTACTCCCTGGCTTCGCTCTCGGCTTCAGTGTGGGGAGCCCTGGGCTTGGGAGCACAGCGCTGCTGAGGACTCAGATCCTTCTGCTTCCCAAAGGGCAGGCTCGGGACCTCGTGAAACCCAAGATTCCTTCTTGTGAAATCTGGCCTGGAGCCTGGTATGAGGTGTAAAACCCCTGCCACTTTGAAGACGTGACCTGTAGGTTCTGAGAGGCTTCGCCAACAGATGCGCATGAGCCAAAATGGGGAGCAACAACACTGGAGTCCCCTTCTGCAGAGAAGAGACACATGGTTCCGTGGCCAGAAGCATCTACACACTCAGACTCGGGCAGTCATCGCTGCTGCTTATGCCGGATGCACAGAGAAAAAGGCTTAAGGTGACACACACATGTTCAGCTTGAAGAAGGCGAGGGCAGTCCACTGTTTCAACACTAACCAATGACTGACCTGAATTTAAGTCTCGTCCCGGGTTGAAGGCTCGGCTATTGACGGTAGTAGAGAGTCGATCACAACTAATTGTTCTAGATACATTGGTGTTAAAGTTCCCGTCGAATCTGAAACAACAAGAGGATTAGCACTGGTTATTTGTTGGCTGTCTAGCCTAGAACACCAGCCAACAGAAGTAATGACTCATCTCGGGCACAAAACGGGTCGGTCCACACACGGCAGAAGATGGACTTCACGCTGAGAACGTGCTACAGGAGAAGGGCTCAGCGCAAAGCAAATTTGCATCTAGAATATTTAGAAATCAAACTCAAGGTAGAAAATTTAGAAACAACTGACCACAGGGGAGATGGCACTTTGTAACTCCAGCTACTCAAGAGCCTGGGACAAGAGGAACAAAAACACTGACTTCCTGCTCATTGAAACCCCGTGGGAAGCCTCGTGCAGCAGCCGGCAGGGCAGGCCTGGAGGGTACGTCTCCGTTCACGCCTGGCTGCCCAGCTGCCTCGGGAACGCATCCCGCTGAAGGTGTCTGGGGTCACAGCAAGTGCCTGGGATTGTTATTAAAAATAAAAATGAAAAAATACGAGGTTGTAGCTGAGTGGTAGTGTCCCTGCATCCAACCCCAGTACTGCAAAGCAAAACAGGACAGAACAGCAGGGCACTGTGGCCCACACCTGTAATCCTAGCACTCGGGAGGCTGAGGCAGGAGGATTACTGTGAGCTGGAGGCCAGCCTGGGTTATGCAGTGAGCTGGAAGCCAGCAGGGAGACCTATGTCTCAAAATAAACAACAACAACAAAAAAATCCCGAGGTGAAACGAAAAAGTGAGCTTCAAGCCAATTATCCCTTGGACTTGTCAGTACTGCTGATAAAATCATAGGCAAAAGGGATGAGAAAACGCAGAACGGAATTTTTAAACATTTAGCTCTGATGTCAGATGTGAAGAGGAATTCTCTAACCTGTCTTATCTGAAAACCGCACTGGGCAACAGCAATGCAGGAGTAGCCGTGGAGCAGCGCAGGCGGGCTCAGGGCTTGAACCCGTGCCCTGCTGCAACCACACGTGACCTTGGAAAATGTACGCCCCTTTTCTGAACCTCTATTCTCATACTGAAAAAAAAAAAAGAGCTGGGATTGGAGGTTCCCTTCAAGCCAGTTAGTCTCCTCCTAGGTGTTTTTCCAAAAGAACTAAAAGCATCGTACCACAGTGACACATGAGCAGCCATGTTTACAGCAGCGCAATTTGTCACAGCTAAATCCTGGGAACAACCCACATGCCTAACACCTGAGGAAGGGATACAAAGGATGTGGTATTTGTATAGAACAGAGTGTTACACTGCTATAAAAAAGACAAATTTGGGCTTTTATAGGTAAATGGATACAACCAGAGACTGTATTGGTAAGTGAAATAAATCAGACCCACATGTGCAAACATCATATTGTCTTGCTAGTGCAAGAACCTGGGAGAGAACATAAAATCTGAAAGGTGCTAGAGACACTGTGAAAGGGGAGGAATCTGCTTAATGGGAAGGAACAACTGGGATGAGGAAAAAGACAAAAAAAGGGAAAGACGTACGTCTATACACAGGAGAGTTTAGATAATTACATTGCCTCTACTGGTCTATTGAAAGGAGCAGTTAATGCTTAAATCTCTTATTTTTTTTTTCTTTTTAATTTCTTAAAAGTTATTTATGTACAGGGTCTCTCTACACAGCTGTGACTCATGGTGATTCCCGTCTCAGCCTTCCCAGTGCTAGGATTACAGACGTGCGCCACACGCCCAGTTCCGGGGCAGCAGGGCAGGCAATACCAGGGATTGAACTCAGGACCTTGTGCTTGCTTGCTAGGCAGACACTTATGCCACTGAGCTATCTCCTCAGCCCCCTTTTTAACTTCTTATAGCTATTTATTTATTTATTTGGTGGAACTGGGGATTGAACTCAGGCCCCTGCACTTGCCAGGCAAGGGCTTATTCTACTGAGCTATCTCCCCAGCTCCCTTATAACTCCTTAAAAACCAATTTTGCAGGTTTACATTTGGTAACCTAAACAACTAATTTGAAGATTTTATGTAATATAACAACCACTGTTGAATTATTACTCTGTTTAATCAAGTTTTGTTATCATTTTTCCCATTTTTGTATTTTTAAAATAAAAAAAGATGTCCAATATTCTTTATTTCTGTGTATAGACACTGACTGCCCTGCTTAATATGTTTTGCTGTTTTTAATCCTCTGGGGGGTGAGGTGAAGTCCAGCACTCTGCAATTTAAAAAAAAAGAGACTATATTTATTCTCAGCCCAGCCCAGAGCCTGCCACGTAACTGTTAGGGTTCCAGATGCTGGGCAGACTCCCGAAGTTCCTAAGAGACAAATAAACTCAGAAGTTGTGATAAAATGCAATGCTCAGGCGTGACCTTCATGGACTTCCACGGCCACGTGGCCGCGGACAGGACCCGAGCTCGCACGCACCTGGTCATCCGGGGCACTGGGTGGCCTCCCGAGTCTCCCTTGTGGCGTCTCAGAGGAGCAGGAGGCAGGAAACCGAGACCACCGTGTAAGCACCGGGCAAGGTTTCCACACAGGGCAGCAGTTTCCACAGGGCAAGTTCAAGGATCTCCCCTCCCCTCAATGCCCTGTGACCTCAGGAGCCCTTCTGCCTCTTTGCCAGCATGGAGTCACAGCGACAAAGCCAATTGGGTCTCCCAGGACAACGGCTTCAGCGACGTCACTGCCGACACGCTCCAAGGCGTCCAGGTGAGACTCCTGCTCAGAGCGCCAAGCGGGCCTGGGAGGGCTGCTCATTGCTGCGGCAGCTGCCTGGCAGGGCCAGGCGGCAGGGGGCCACTCTCGTGCCATGTCTACTTCCTCGGGAGCTTGGTCTAAAACATGCCTGGTGACACCTATTTTAGGCTTTGTGGTGACAAGGTCTGCTGCCACTCCTGCCTGGGGAGTGGGGAAGTGGTCAAAAAGAAAACAGAAGACACAGTGCAACATCTTCCAACACTCTCTGCCCAGGCAGGCCTGGCTGGGCCCGGGACCACCCAGATGATGAAGATGGTGACTGCTACAGTGTCTGAGTAGCAGCCCTTTGTGGCTTCTGGGCACTTGAAAAGTGGCCATGTGACTGCCACAAATACCCGACGCTCAAAACGAGGAAAGGAAAGGTTTATTTAGCGCACAGCTACTGGAGATTTCAAGACACTGGAGGAGCAGCTGGGGCGCTGAAGTGACCAGGATGACCCTCTCCACCTCTCTGAGAAAGCACAGGCTGCCAGTTTAACTTTAATGTCCCTCTGTCCCCGCCTTTCGGGCCCCGCCCCGATCCTCTGTCCCCGCCCCTCTGGCCCCGCCCTGGCCCTCACCCCGCCCTCGGCCCCGCCCTGGTCCTCTGGCCCCACCCTGGTTACCTGGCCCCGCCCCTCTGGCCCCGCCCTGGTCCTCTCACCCCGCCCCTCGAGCCAGGACACTGCTGGAGCCCCGCCCCTCCTTGCTCTTCCAGCCACATCTGCCCCATAACTTCCATGAGGCTTCGTGGGGATAACTAGACACAAACCATAACACACTTCCTGCTCATTGAAGCCCTGTGCGTGTGAAGCCTCGTGCAACAGCCAGGCAGGGCAGGCCTGCAGGGTGCATCTTTTCACCCCTGGCTATCTGCCTGCCTCGGGAAGACACAACCCGCCGAAGGTGTCCCGGTCACCGCAAGTGCCTGATAACTGCTCAGCCAGGCAGCTGGACTTCACAGGCAGGGGCCTGGGTCAGGTGCCGGAGGGCTGTTGGTGTCCTGCTAGTTTTCCCACCACTGAACGCTTAGCGTTGTTCTTGTCCACTGTAGGTGCCACACTGGCCAGTCTTCCGCAGACACCCACACTGGCCAGCAGTGTCCTGGACCGAGGTGGGGACGTAGCTCACTGAACAATTACCCAGAGTCACTCACATGGTGAGCTGGAAGGGGGACTCCTGGGACCCACTCCGAGAGCTTGATTTAAAATATGAGTTTGGGGTAAGGACCAGGAACCTGGCCTTGCTAGGTTTGGAGGAATGAGAAGCGGCCCATTCCACTACGCAAGCTCCCTTGGTGCTGAAACGCAGGACAGCTCTGCACGGAGCTCAGGGCCTGGGGCGCTCAGACCTGAATCCTGAGAACACAGCGCCTCAGGTTCTCTGCAGCCCATAGCTGGCCGTGCTGTGCATCTCAGGGGCCCACCTGTACCCATTTCACAGCAAAGTGACAGCAAGAATCACACAGCACTCCCTGAGAGATTCGAACCTGCCACTGTGTTCAGGGATGAGGCACATGTGTCCCTCTGCTTCCTGGAGTGACCATAAGGAAGAAGCTGCCAAAGAGCAGCTCAAGACGGTGCTGAGGAACAGGTGGCCAGGAGTGCTGGGGAGCTGCCTGCACCAGGACCTCACTGTCAGCCACCCTGGAGTGGCCTGCAGTCCTCTGTGAGGGCCTGGGCGTCTGTGAGACGCAAGGTGGCCCAGGCTGGTGCCTTGCCTGGGGGTGGGGCGCACCATGCCTTCCAGGTGCCTGATGGTAGTGGCTGCAGCTCTGAGCCTTTCTGCCTCGTGAAGCTAGCACGGAGTCTGCACTCTGCACTGGCCACGACCGGCCCAGGGCCTGGGACACATCCGTGAACAGGAGGAGAGGCCACAGGGCTGTGAGAAGCAAAGGCAAGACGTGGAGGTGGAGGCCAGGCCCCGGGCTCTAACAGACTAGGACGCTGCAGCACGCTTCGCCAAGGTCAGCGGCCAAGGTCAGCGTCCTCCTGCCTTCCAAAGGCACGGTGGCATTCCATGCCTTGGAGAAGAGCCATTATGAAAAGTGGTGTGGAAACAGAAGGCCATGTTTACAACCCCTACGAAAACAGGCTGGTCACGCCCGGGGCTAGCAGAAGCGTTCTGCAGTGAGAAATGAATCCCGTGCTGGCCCCATCGCGGCAACTGCAGGTTCGCCAGCAGGTAGAGCCGCTGCGCCCACGCAGCTGCGCACACACGAGAGGGCGACTCAGTTCACTGAGAGCAGCTTGCTTCACACTTGTGCGTTCAAAACAGTTAATCAAAATGACAGAACAAACCCTAAATCCCTTTTAGATCTTGACTC